TCGATCCCGGGACTCCAGGATCATGACCTGAGCCGAAGGCAGTCGCTTAACCAACTGAGCCACCCAGGCACCCTAGAAGGATACAGTTTTAAGAGTATGATTATATCTGAACAGGTGCCATTTTTCTGTTGCTAAAAAAAGGCATTTCAAAGTGGACAAGGTCACAGCAGTAGGTTCACAATTACTCTGAAGACATACATAAATATATTTGGAGACATGAATAAATAACTGTGCACTGTTTCACTACTTTTCAGGCTGCAGTTGAATAATCTACAACATGCGTGTTTACAAGCTGCATTCATACAAATTATATGCTGTTTTGCTCATCCATTTATCTCAGAGGTATAGATATTTAATCCCCAGATAATGTGCCTGAGTACCATTTTCCTTTTCCATGTCATCATTTCTACTATGCCTGAAAATATGTCTCTCTCTGAGAATAAAGCCTAGTATATTTTTCACACAAGGATATTTTATTTACATGCCCACTCCCCCCACCGCCCAAAGCTTTAATTTCTGGATTATTTTTAAGCTTGGTGAGGTTTTTGAACTTGTAAGACCAAAAAAATAATGTTTATAGGATAGCATCTTTACAATCCAAATATTGTAAATTCTTAACCTAAGTCAAGAAAAAGGACAAAAATGAAGTGAATCCAATTCACCTCAACAAGTAGTTCCAAGTACCTTACGGGATTTGCCGGCATCTGCTGCATAGAAACATGAAGGAGGTGGGGCCACCGCTCTCGGTTGGGGGGAGAGATAAGATATGTACAACAACTGTCACACAAGATAGAGTGTAGTGACTTTCTTAATAGAGGAGAAAGCTACAAGGCTGAAAATAACAAATACTTGAGAAAAATATAAATTTAGAGCTGTTAGGAAAAAAAAAGAAGAAATGATTTCCTGTTTAGGAACAAGAAAGGCTTGAGTGTCTAGCATTTATATTAGGACTTTGAGTATGATATGATTATTAGCAAGTTGAGAAAGGGAAAGAGAGATGAACAAAAGAAGTAGCTTTCAATGCCTTTCTAAGAAGTTTGAACTTGACTCTAAAGGACTATTTCTGAGAAAGGAAATGATGAAAATATAGCTTCACCAAATCCATATTTGGGCCCAGTTCTATATTCTCAACTCCAGACCCATATATCCAACTATTTACTGGACAGCTCTACTTGGAAGCCCAGAGGAAAGTGTAATTCAACATGTCCTAAACTAACTCATGCCCTTCCTCATCCTGCCACCCACTTTCACTCCACAGCGAAATCTTGCTCTTCTTTCTCTAAATAGCATCAGCCAAATTTTCCAAGCCAGAAATCTAAACATCATTCAAGACCACTTCCTCTCCCTAATCTTTGAAGCTAACAAATCACTAAGTTGCTTTATCTTTGTTTTTTCTATTTTGGAAGATTCTCTCCCCGTCGTTTCTTTCTGTGCATCTCTCCACTGCTAACGGTCAGTACAACAATGTGCTTACGAGCACAGACTTTAAGCCTGACCGCTTGGATTCTTGCCTGGACTCTCTGTACCTTGCCAGACCTTGGGAAAGTTATGCAACACTTCTATGCTGCAACTTCCTGATCTATAAAATGGGAAGAATAACTGTACCCTCCAGTTGTTGTGAGGATTAAATGAATCATATGAAAGCACTTAGAGTTGGGCACATACCAACCACTGTGTAAGTTTTTGCTTTTGTTATATGACCATTGCTTGCGTGGACTATGGAAACAGCCTATGAATTCTAATCCACTCAAATCCCTTTTCCAAAATGAAGCAAAAGGTATCTTTCTAAAAAAAATCTGATTATGATTTTTTTTTTGCAATTCCCTAAAATGACATTTTATTCTCTTTATGATGAAATACAGATTTCTTTTTTTTTTTTTAAGATTTATTTATTTGAGACTGAGAGAGAGAGAATATGCAGGGGAGGAGCAGAGGAAGAGGGAGAGAGAAACTCAAGCAGACTCCACACTGAGTGTGGAACCCAATGCTAGGCTCAATCTCATGACTCATGAGATCATGACCCATGAGATTGTGACCTGAGCCGAAACCAAGAGTCAAACGTTTAACTGACTATGCCACCCAGGCGCCCCTGAAGTTCAGATTTCTTAACATGACCTTTACTTGGGCCCTGAGTACCTCTTCAGCTCACTGTCTAACTACTCTGTTCCTCTTGGACATTCAACTCATTCCTTCTAACACATCTTGCTGACTCTAAACTTTGGGCTTTCAAGTACACCCGTATCTCTGCCTAGACCACTCTTTACCTCCTGTAGCTTGGCCAAATCTTATTCATAGTTTAATTGCCACTAGGTGTGTATGTGGGCAGGAGAAATATCCAGAAAGAGCTACCAATGTGATAGGAAGCAAGTAAAGAAAATTTATTAGGGAGGGAGAATGAACTGCATAAATGCTGCTGCTAGATAAGTTAGATCTGAAATGAGACTTGACCATTGGATTTAGCAACATTATTTCTTCAATAACTCACTAAAGGAGTTACCAGTATTTTTAAAGTTGGAATTTTTATATATCATAGTAGGTTTTTCAAAGCAGAATATACACTCCTTGTGTATATTTAATTTAGGAATTTTGCATTATAATAAAACTATATGTAACAATGAATTCCAAAACTCTGTACTACCATTCAATTGAGAATAGTCTCTGCATTGGGAAACCAGTGTAAATAACAAGCGGGGGGTGGAGGCGGGGGGGGAGATGAATTCAAATTAATTCAAATCCCATTGTATAGCAAAAGGTAATCATTGGTTCATAATGATTTTCTGCCTACACATTTCTCCAGGTATGACAAGTACATATCAACCATTGTTGTAAGTAACTTATTACTCTAATTCTTTATTGTAAACGTACTTGATTTCAGAGCACGTGTTCCTTTTGTGGCTGGACACCTCTTCTTTGTCTTCTGCAGCAAATCCAAGGATTGTCTCTGCCTTTAAGAAAAAAAATGCATTACCTGACAGCAGAGCTTTTATTTTAAATGTCAAGCAAAATGAAATGATTGTAAAAATCCAGTCATTGCCATTAACGGAACAATATTTGTATAGTGGATATTTAAAGGGTTATTGTAGTAAGAAATATTTGTACAGTTTGTGGTCAAAGAGACCAAATAACTATGGTTAATGTTTTTCCTGTTTATTATAGTTCCTAATTATAATAATATTTAATAGGAAATGAAGATCAAGTCATCAATATGCTTTATTATTCTGAGTAGATTAAATATAGAGCTATTTTATAAAATTTCACTTCTTGCTCCTCTTTCTCTAAATAGCATCAGCCAAATTTCTCTGACCTGAACAAATCTATTTATATATAATTGTTATAAATATATATAATTTATATATATATATCAATGCTTAAAAATGTGAAATATATCCTCATGCTCGCTAACAGTTCTGCTTTTGATCATACTCTATAATTATAAACTGTATTATCCTTGACAAATCAGGCTATAATAATGTGTTCACTATAGTTATAACAAAAATCTTTCAGCCATTGTGTCAATTCATTGGTCTTGTTGAGGTGTAACTGATCAAAATCAAGGCAAATAGAGAGAAATATATCATATGGCTCATTTTGAGGAATGCATATATGACAGAACTTAATATTTAAGAATTTAAATATGGCTAAAATATAACCTTGACTGGGCCACGTCTTCTATAATGTTGAAACCAAACAATTTAAGAAACGTTATCTACTAAAGTCTATCTTTAAAATTTTCTAAGAAAATCATGGGACGCCTGGGTGGCTCAGTCGTTAAGCGTCTGCCTTCAGCTCAGGTCATGATCTCAGGGTCCTGGGATCGAGCCCCACATCGGGTTCCCTGCTCTGCTGGAAGCCTGCTTCTCCCTCTCCCACTCCCCCTGCTTGTGTTCCTGCTCTCGCTATCTCTCACTCTATCAAATAAATAAATAAATAAACTCTTTAAAAAATAATAAAATAAAATTTTCTAAGAAAATCAGTATACAGTTCCCCTGGTGAAAAGCTATCCATTCCATCTTCTCTCTAACCCACTTCTTCTGCTGTGATTTAATTCTTTCTTTCTTGACCTTTACTCGGAGGAAACAGATGAAGTAGGAGATAACTGCTTACTGCCACTCATACAATATCCCTGAAATGTATTTGGGCTTGTGACCTTTAAATTATGGGGCTAAATAAAATGAATCACATCTCTTCTTAAGGACCTGATCTGTGGGTCAAGATATGTTTTCTTTTCATCTGTATGAAAATGCTGTAGGCTGTGATTGCCATGGACTAGGTGAGGTCAGGTGAGGAATGGGTCCTTGACAGTTGAGTCAGGCAGGAGCCAAAATGATCGTCTGAAATGGAAAAGTTAAGAAGTGGGAGATGATTTGTGAGCGAGATGGTAATTGCTGGTGGTCACTTGCCCTCTGTGGCGGGGCGGGGTGGGGGGTGGGCAGTGTGTGAGGACGGTACAAAAATGCCTGACTATGGGAAGAACGCCCTCACCTGGGCGAAACTCTGGGAGGAGCTTACACAGGGGTGACAGGTGGATGCTTGAAGCTGAATAAAAATGCCTCGGAGGCCCCATGCCATTTCATCTCCCACTAAGAAAGGATTTGGGGTAAGCACCATTTTAACATTTGAGGATGATTTTCCCAATAAAAACTCAAAGGCACTTTTAGGATTTCAACTGCCACTGCTTTTTGTTTGATAGATTGAGTTCTCTTCTTACTTTCAAAAAATATAAGTGTTCCATAAAGCCTAATGGTATTTACAGAGATACAAAAGTGGAGAATCTAACCAAGGTTATCTGGTGTTTGAAGTCAAGCATGATAATGTGTTCCTGTGAAATCCCTGGATCATTAACATTGCTTTAGTCAGCATTTAATAGGAAATGCATGCCAGTAAGATGAAAATTAATTTACAGTTGAATGCTTTGTGTTAGGAGACAACTTGCCTGATTGCAGTTGTTTGAAACCGAGCATATCCTAAGCACATTGCCGGCTGCCTTTTCTTGGCTGTAGATATCGATGAGTGTGGGACCGGGAGGCATAGCTGTGCCAATGATACCATTTGCTTTAACTTGGATGGTGGATATGATTGCCGATGTCCTCATGGAAAGAACTGCACAGGGGACTGCATCCATGACGGAAAAATTAAGCACAATGGTCAGATTTGGGTGTTGGAAAATGACCGGTGCTCTGTGTGTTCATGTCAGGTTGGTATAAATAAAACACTTTAATCATTTTTATTGGGGTGTAATTTGCATATGTTTTAAATATATAGCTTGATGAGCTTAGACAAATGGCATGCATCTACTTAATCACTATCACAGTTAGTGTAAAAGGACATTTTCATCTGCTCGTAATGTTGTCTCTGTCCTTTCGTAGGTAGTCCCGTACCGTCAGCCTGAAGGAAAACACTGATTTGGGTCACTGTAGGTTAGATTTGTATTTTCTAGAGCCTTCTATAGTAGGTAGTACATATAGTACATACTTTTTTTTTTTTTTTTTGGTCTGGCTTCTTTCTCTCGGCATTATGTTTTCAGCATTCATTTATATTAATTACATATGTCAGTAACCAATTCCTTTTTATTGCTGAATAGTATTCCATCCTGTGGAAATGCCACAATGCATTTATCTGCACATGTTGATAAAACTTTGCTGCTAACTATGCTAGTGCTTCCATAGTAACAATATCATATTTGAATGAATGCATAAACAAAGCCAGAATGGACATACTTTGGCCTACAAGTGAAAACGATCTATTTAGACTGTGTTTCAGTTTTAAAGGGATGTTCCACTTTATTTACCCAGTCGATGATAGAGACTTAATTTATAGTTAGATAAATAACACTCTGTATGAAGGGCTCAATTATTATGAAAGAAATTGAAAACAGTTTGTATACAAACTTAAGGTCTAATATATTCCATAAACTTAACAATAGGTAAAGCTTGTTGACTATTTTTTTTATTATGTTATGTTAATCACCGTACATTACATCATTAGCTTTTGATGTAGCGTTCCATGATTCATTGTTTGTGCATAACACCCAGTGCTCCATGCAGAACGTGCCCTCTTTAACACCCATCAGCAGGCTAACCCATCTCCTCACCCCCCTCCCCTCTAGAACCCTCAGTTTGTTTCTGAGAGTCCATAGTCTCTCATGGTTTGTCTCCCCCTCCGATTCCCCCCCTTCATTCTTCCCTTCCTACTATCTTTTTTGTCTTTTTTAACATATAATGTATTATTTGTTTCAGAGGTACAGGTCTGCGATTCATCAGTCTTACACAATTCACAGCGCTCACCATAGCACATACCCTCCCCAGCTTGTTGACTATTAAATATAAATGCACATGCCCTCACATAAAACAAGGTAGTATTCTAATAACTATAGGTAGTCTAATTACTATACTAATAAACAAGTGCATGTATATTTACATGTACCTTTACATGTACATTACCCACATTCATATATACATAAGGATGTGTAGTGGTTATTTCATACCGGTCATTTCTGAAAATTTGCTGGTCAAGCAGTGTTTGGAAAGGAAATTGGAAGTTCTCCAGCTTGGGTAATTTCTGTGTGGTAGCTACAAAATGTAACTCTAAAGCTATTACCCTGATGTAGTATATTGAGAAAGGGAGGGCTTTTGGTAACTGCTTTCTTCTTTCTCATACAGAATGGATTCGTAATGTGTCGTCGGATGGTCTGTGACTGCGAGAATCCCACGGTTGATCTTTTTTGCTGCCCTGAATGTGACCCAAGGCTTAGCAGTCAGTGCCTCCATCAAAATGGGGACACCTTATACAATAGTGGGGACACCTGGGTCCAGGACTGCCAGCAGTGTCGCTGTTTGGTAAGTTTAGCCTCTGCAAGTGCGGGGGAAGTTCCGGCCCGAATCTAACGAGGGAGACAGTCTTGCCCTCCCACATCTGCCAGTTCCCAGCACCTACCTGGCCGTGGCGCTGGTGGTTACAAAAAGTGAGCCCGGTTAGGATGACAAATGGCGAGCACACGGTCAGGACCCGCGAAGGCACGTGCGGAGTAAATGTTGGACGGCATGTCGTGCATGTCTTTCCAGAGCTCCGAAGAAGAACAGACTCTCCTAGCATCCCCAGTCCCATTCAGCTTAGGTTCACTCACACACCATTATAAGCAGAACAGCATTTGTGAAAAATGTAATTTTTTTGTCCAAGTAGAACTTTTGTTAATCCATTTCTATCGGTCATAAAAACAGAAACAAAAACAAAAAATGACACTTTTTCTCCTTCTAAGTATTTTTACCATCAGTACTATTCTAGTGGGCACCCTGTTTTACACATGGTATGGATTTGCAATAAATACTTATTAGAATATTAGAGTTGAATGTATATATTTACAAAACTTCTACTGGAAACAATAGGAAAAAAGAAAATAAAGACTTGATCAGGAAAACACCAATCTTTTCTCATTTGACCAAGCTTCTTGATTCTTTTGAGGAGCGTAAATGAAAAGGAAAATTGGTCTATGTGTCTTTATAGAAGAAAGTTTCCCAGATGCTACTTTTAAAGTCATGGCTAGTTTCCTTTCTATTTGTGTGAGGATATTTTTAAGGTAATGCTTTTTTGTTGCTTCCTTTTTATACTTTAAACCCAAAAATCAGTTGAAAGAACAAGGTTAGTTTCTGTGCCTGAAGGCTGCTTTCATCTCCAAGACCCTGAGATTCAGAATTATGAAGAAAATAGGAGAGAGGTGGGAGCTAAATTTTAAAAAGATCCAATTCACACAATTTTCCCATGTGAAATAGAGAAGCCTGAAATCAGCTAGTTGTTTTTTTTTTTTCCCCTCCAGAATCCCTAACCTGAGAAACATATAAATGAACAAAGAAAACCTGCCAAATTCCCTTCATATTTCAGTTGATTTTCTTGTAAATGGACAAAACTTTCTTTATACAGAAGGGAATAAATGAGAAGGTAGGGGGGAAATAATCAAAGGAATGAAAAAAGCACCTAATATGCAAAAATTTAAGTAAAACGTTCTTCCGTAGTAAATAATTCTTCTGTCAGGGAAAAGATAAGAGCATGCAAATTTGATTGTTTTAAGGGAAAGGGTTTTGCTTTTGTTCCTTGTTCTTGTTTAATCCTTGAACGCTCTTAAAGTCCAGCTGCAGGATAGACCTCAGCCCTCTGGTAGGACTTTTGTAGATTCCCTGCAAGATTCGTGGCTTTGAAGGTGTGAGTATAAATATCCATCAAATAAACTGAGTATTCGGTAAACACTGTGCGGCTTCCACTGTGCCTCCCTCCGCGCCCTCACTTCCTTTCTCCCTGCCCTGCTGCATCTGCTTTCCTTACAGCAAGGGGAAGTTGACTGTTGGCCTCTGCCTTGCCCAGAAGTGGAATGTGAATTCAGTGTCCTCCCAGAGAACGAGTGCTGCCGGCGCTGTGTCACTGACCCTTGCCAGGCCGACACCATTCGTAATGACATCACCAAAACTTGCCTGGATGAGATGAACGTGGTTCGCTTCACTGGGTCCTCTTGGATCAAACACGGCACCGAGTGTACTCTCTGCCAGTGCAAGGTAAAGCCTATTAAATCCAAGGAGGGAACACTTGGCCAACTGTACCCAGGGCTCATTCACATTAATGTGCTTAACCTAGGCCAATGGGAAGCATTTTTTTTTTCCTATTTATTGTTGCAACAGAGGTGGGAGGAGGGCCACTCAGCTTTATTAGTGCCAAGGCTAACTGCCCTGTGCATCCTCAAAGCATATTCAAGGAGAAGGAAGTGCATGATCAGAAACCAGAATGATCAGTTATTTATGTCACCAGAACAGAAAGAACCTACTTAAATTGCCCTAAATTTTCTAACTGTACACATCTTTAAAAAAAAAAAAAACTACAACGCAAACTTCATGTTTCTTCTTTCATGATGGATATTATTTTATTGATTTTTATCTGGTCCTTTTATGAGGTCTGTAAGATATATCGACAAAGTAAATATATTACATTTTCCAAAGTGAAAATCAATATGGAAAAATGGGCATATTTCTTGGTTTGTTGTGGTCAGTTACATTGGGTTGAAAAATTTAAGATCTGTTGTTTATTTTATTCCCACAGTTGGAGAAAAATCATTATAAAGATTTTTCTTCTTATTCCCACAGGAAAATAGAGCGTGTGTCTTTTACTTCAATGAGAACGAAAATACAGATAATGTAGACTATGTGTAGAGTTCATACATACTGGCAAAGTTGAAAGCATTCTACTTGATTATTGTTCCTACAAATGTTGATTTAGTGGTCACTGTATTTCACAGTCATAATTTTTGAATCAACACTAAAACTAAGTAAATAAACTGAAGGCTTAATAACAACAACACAGGAAAGCAAAGATTCAGATTTTTTCCAACATACCACAGCTAGATATCTCTAACTCTCTTTTTGTAAGTGCACAGTTCCATTAATTTTTTTTCAATAGAGCAATTTAATTCAGATTCACTTAGCACAAATTCTTACTAGAGTGGCTTGACATAACAGGACAAAGAAATATAAAATGCTTTAAGCTTTGAGATACTATTATCTATTTCAAACCGAAATGTTTGTCTCTTTCAATCAATGTAATTTTTGTCAATCAAGCAAAGCTTTTTGGGTGAACATTTAATGCGTTTTCTGAAAATGCATTAGCAAATTTGAAAGTTACTACTACTACTACTACTACTACTACTAAAAGTGACTAATGTATATGCAGTATTGCTTTAATATACATTTAATATGAGTACACATAGCAGTGCATATCTAGAAACTTCAGCATTAATGACCAACAGGGAAATAGTTTCTGACATTTAATTACCAATTAAAGTTAAATCCCTTTACACTCTTTTTTTTTTAATATTTTATAAGTAACCTCTACACCCAAAATGCAGCTCAAACTCACAACCCTGAGATCAAGAGTCACATGATCCACCAACTGAGCCAGCCAGGCACCCCATGTACACTCTTAATCTAAGATTATTGTTCTGAGAAGTGACAGCAAAAATATATAGGAGGTGATAGGATGAAAAACACACAAATATGGCTCACACAGATATTTCCAATAAAAAAAAAATGCATTCAGTAATAGAAAAACATGAGAGTGTTTTCTGGGGTGAAGAGCATGAGTATGATTGTCATTTACTGCCTTATAAACAAATAGGATTTTTTGCCTCATGATAGAAATGTATTCCAGAAAGTGTATTTTAGAGTTAAATTCATTTTTTGTCAGATCAGTGCTGATTCTCAGAAGTTACTGTTTGATGCTATTTCCCTTTTCCCTTCTTATTAAATATGAGTTATAAAAATATGTGCTACTTTACCAAATTTATCCCAAATACACATTTTATTATATTTATTTTGTGTTATTTTAAAAATAAAATGGATGCAAAACAGGCTACAGATATTCCATTGGAGGTGAGCATTTTCCACAATTTGGTGCTTTCAGAGCACCATTTTTACTTCTTATCTCCCTGTCCTACTCTCCTATGAATTACTCATTCTAATCAATAAACACATTGTGCTGGGTATTATGCTAGTACCAGGAGTGTAATGATAAGGAAAACAGATAAAACTGTTTCTGGAAATTATTACCTAGCACCTTGTTGTCTAGAGCTATGCTGTCCAATATGGTAGTCAGTAGCCACATGTGGCTATTTAAATTAATTAAAGTTAAATAAAATTAAAACTTCAGTTTCTCAGTCACCCTGGCCACATTTTAATTGCTCAATAGCTACATGTGGCTAGTGGCTATCATATTAGACAGAACATATAAAGAACATTTCTCTCATCACAGAATGTTCTGCTGGACAGCACTAGAGGTGAAGAATGCAGTGCATAGAATCAGGCCACCTGGATTCAAAGCCTGGCCAGCCATACTAGCAATGTGACCTCAGGGGATGTCCATTAATCTCTCTCAGTTTGCTCAGTTTGCTCACCTGAAAAATAAGAATAAAAATAGTACCTAACTAGGAGTAATTTTAGTACCTGCATGAGAGGGTTGCTATAAGAATTAAGTGAGAAGATCCATTAAAAAGTTTCCTACACATTTCATGCACATTCAGAGTAAACACCAATATTGGCTATTATTATTGTTAATAATACAGTAAGTAGATATTAAGTCATGAAACAGATAAGACAGCATTCTAGACTGTGATGGATGCTCTGAAGGAAAGGAGCACTGTGCTAAAAGACCACATAACATGTGCACCAGTTATCTCCTGAGCAAATGACATTGAAGATAAGATCTGAGGAATTAGGAATTAGCAGGGGGGTGGTGGTTTAAAGATGTCTTTTTAAGGATGTCTCCAGATTTAATTTGCTTAGGTTAAAAAAAAATGTTCTTCCATTCAAAGGTTAAACTCTTGAGTCAAAAATGGATTACTAAGATTGTCTCTCCTAAGTCTAAAAGAGACAATGAACCCTTTGATGGGTCAGAGTGCTTTTAGGCAGTTATGCTTTGAGCTTCAAACAATAACTAGGGATGTGTCCAGTTGAGAAATGAATACGAAGGGAGGAGGGATAGAAGGTCATTTCCTTTAATAAATAATTACCAAACAGACCATTTGGAAATTGGAAGCCAGGGGGCTACTTTTAATTCCTTGGGAGACTCTAGATGTAATACTGAAATAATTGAGGTATGAAGAAAATTAGAGTTTTAAGGATGAAGCTCCTAACTTCCTAAACTTTACCCTCATCTATCAGGAACAGCAGACTTAAAGTTTTGAAAGCAGACTTCTGTACTAACATTAGAATAGAAACTAGATCTATCTATGGAAACAAATGCCCCATCAATGAGGACATTAAAATGGAGACTTTCGTGTATGATTGGGAGAGATTTTCAGATCAATAAAGGAAGAAAGGATTATTTTATATACATTGGAATGGCTGGGCAGCAATTTGAGGGAAGTAATTTTATATGCTATCATATATCAAAACAAATTCTTTTTTTTTTAAAGATTTTATTTATTTGACAGAGAGAGACAGCGAGAGCAGGAACACAAGCAGGGGGAGTGGGAGAGGGAGAAGCAGGCTTCCCG